GGGTCTATATTAAGGCTTACATCGGGAGGTAAATCGTGGGTAAAGAGTTGCGTCGCGAATGTGGTAACGGTTGAGGACATACGTAATGAATCGCTCGAGACCTAAGCCATAGCCCCCGTGAGGGCACGAACCAAACAAACGCTGATCGGAGTACCAGTAGTAGTCTTTCGGATCAATCCCTTCGCGTTTGAAGCCCGCCATCAACTCATCGTATTTCCATATCCTCATTGAACCGCCGATTATCTCTCCCACACCCGGAAGCAATACATCCACCTTTCAATGCAATCCATTTAAAGGTTAATTCAGATTTTGTTAAACAAACTGACAATTGCTTACAGATTCTGTGAGTCTATTATCTTCAGCACAACGAGGCATATAAAACGACTTAATTTCCGCTGGAAATCGACACAACATTATTGGCTGTAAAAGAAATCGTTTGTTCAGAAATGTATTCATTTTTTATTAATTGTTAAGTCTATTAATGATTAAAACCTCATTTATTTTGTCAGTCATTTTCCTTTCGGGCATTTCGGGAATGTCTTCACCGAATTCATAGAAAGTTTGGTCCTCTTTAGTGATGTTATTCTCTTTGAGATAAACAATAGCGTCCTTATAGTCCATACGTTTAAACGGCTTTTTCGGTGCCTTAAAGTCGGGGTTGAAGTGATTGATTGTCTCTTTGCCCAACGGATCGGCCATCAGTCTGTCGATCACATCCACTATTAGGTCCTCTACTCTGTCCAACAATTGGTCGAATGAGATGAATGGACACTCGGCCTCCACGTGAGAGTATTCAGACAAATGTCTTCGAGTGCGCGCTTTCTCTGCTCTGTATGACTGAGCGATAGTGAAGACATCACCCAATGAGGGCAACAATGTCTCCAAATAGAGTTGAGACGATTGTGTCAAATATGCCTACAAATAATATTATTGTTAATTCATCGATAATTAGGTGATCATAGATAGTCAACAGACCTCTTCGCCAAAGTAGTCAAACTTGAAAAGAGTGGATCCGCCCTCGACTTGAGACTGTACTAACGTGGGTGGCGTCACCTCTACATAACCTCTCGATATATAGTGTCCGCGAAATGCTTGCAATACAAGCGACCGAAAGGTCATTATCTTGGATAAGACCTCTCCCCTCAGCATAAGGTGTCTTTGATCCAATTGGATGTCGATAAACGAGTCTTCGTTGAGCACGTGATCGATACCACCGGGCGGTGCGTCGCCCACCAGTTCCCAGTAATCGCACTGCAGTTCGTGACCGCCGGGCGCTGTCTTTCCGTCGGGCGTCTCTTTGAGCGTTCCGTACAATTGAACCGTCGATTCGGTCTGAAGTGTGAGAGCATTGTATGTCTGACACAATTGATTGGTGAGAACCGACTGCAAGAAACCGGTGCCGTCTCTCAACGTAATAAACATCAGAGCCTTTCCCTGACGTCTGAGTCTATGGACCCAACCCTTAATCGTCACCCTTTGGTTCCGATGCGAAACAGTGTCTCGTATTTTAATTTCGACCGCTTTGGGCAGCGATTCATCCATTTTAATGACAATACTCTTCGCGTCCTCCAAATTGGTGGCCTTCTTCTCCTCCTCTTTGGCCTCTTTCTCCTGTTTTCCTTCAGTCTTGTGCTTCTCTCGGACCCAAATCTTCTTGATTTTCTTGATCTGAGACACAGAAACGACGTCCCATTTCTTGCCCTCTTCTTTAGACTCCGCGTAAAACGTGGGAAACGGCTCTTCGGCCGCCCGTCTCATCGCCTCCAGTAATGTCTTGAGTGGTTTGGCTTCAGTGCCGTCGCCGGACCCGTCATCGCCGGTCTTCTCGTGAATGTATAACTCCTCTGAAATCATGTGTAAAAAACAAATTACAAAAATGAGTGCTTTTTATGGCAGATATTTGGCCTCAATTCAAGTCTCACTCAGTTTTAAGCCGTCTTTCAATTGTTTGTCAATTGTTTCACTCATTTTCACTCAAATTATAATCGTTTTAATGAAATGCAAATCAATTTATCTGAACTAAAAGTTACTTTAGTTACAAATTTATTCAAAAACAACGTTTGCTAACGTATGTTATACACTACTTTATTTCCGAAAGTACAGTAGTGTTCAGCCCGTGGCCAAAACTACAGTACAAACGTATCAATTACGTCAACAAATCAATGCATTTTCGCAGACAAACAATTAGTGTTCAAATGTTACACACATTTCAATTGTCCCGCAAATCATTGATGGCTTCACTTTAATTAATAGATTACGGGAAAGACAATCTCGTAAGCGATAGGAAAAATGGTTGTATTAATAATTCCCGTCCCGTTTCCCTTCTTTTCCGTACCGTTCCCAATTTGTCCCGTTCCCGGTGTGACAACTCTATAGTACGGGTATTGGTTACGGGAATGGGAATTGAAAATTGCAAATAATTTAAAGTCTAAGTCAAACCAAAACTATTACAAAATGACTTCATTTATGTATAAAACTGTGTTTTTTTGTGAATTAAAAACTTTACGCAATGTTTTGGTGAAGAAGTGAAACAATTTGAGTGCAATTAAGCGTTGAATCCAATGATTATAAAGCGATGAATGAATTGGCGATCATATGGTGGATGTCATCGGCGGTCAGATTGGGTCTGTTGTCGTGCGAGTGGTGTCTGAACTGGTCATACCTACAACCGGATCAGTTCTTCCAGTCGACGGAACCGATGGCCGCGCGTGTGTTGGACACGGAAGCGCTGCTCGTCTGGGAGTTCAACACATCGTCGCCCTTAAGAAACATGTTTTTCCCGCAACTCATCTCATGGCCCGTCTTCTCGGCACTCAAAGCCATGGCTTTACAACACAACCCATTCCTCGTGTTCATTGGTCCCCGAATTGTCATCACTTTGTTGTCATTCCTCTGCGATTACAGTCTCTATAAGTTGTGCGAATACAGCGGCCGAAGAGCGCAATTCGTGCCATCGGTGGTCGTCTTCGCCACATCTTATGTCACGATAACATATTTCACACAAACTTTTAGTAATACTATTGAAACCATTTTATTGTCATTACTTCTCGTGTGTGGCTTCAGAGCGATCGCGAAGAATCACTTCAGCACTTCCAACGCGTCCATAATAGGTGTCATACTATCGTTGGGTTTCTTCAATAGACCCACATTTGTTTTGTTTGCATTTCCGGTCGTTTGCTTTTGGGCCGCATTTGATGGCCGCAAAAGAGGCCGCAAATCGGTGACACAATCGGTGACCACATTTATAAGACGCGGTCTTTCATTATTACCGTCTTTTATCATCACTTCAATGGTATTAATAATTGTCGACACTTTGTATTACAATCAAAACAGTATTGAATTTTATGAAAACTTATTGAACTATCGATTTGAAGAGTTAACCAAAAGTCTAGTCATAACTCCATTGAATTTTGCCAAATACAACACGAAGACATCAAATCTGGCCAATCATGGTCTCCATCCGCCATACTTTCACGCGTTGGTCAGCGTTCCGATGGCTTTCTCCATATTAGGACTTTTTGCATACTTTGATTTGTGGACAACAACTCAGCGCTATATTAGATCAATGAAGACGAAGCCAAAGAGACCGGTGCTCAACGTATACGAAGCCATAGCTATACTGACATTTGTGGGACCAGTGGTGGGATTCTCACTGATCCCGCATCAGGAGCCCCGGTTCCTCATCCCAAGTCTAGTCCCGCTTTGCTTTCTATACGCGAATCGATTACTTAAACGCAAACATGTATTCAGTATTTGGATTATTGTGAACATAAAAGACTTGATTTTCAATGAAATCAATGTTTAAATAAGTTTTTGTTGCAAACGATTGCATACAATATGTGATGAAATAAAGGCTTTCATGTCATCACAAGTCGGGCACCGGTTTTGATGTCATGTTTGCCATGAATTACGTCAACAAATCAATGCATTTTCGCAGACAAACATTTAGTGTTCAAATGTTACACACATTTCATTCGTCCCGCAAATCATTGTTGGCTTTACTTTAATAAACAGATTAAGGGAAAGACAATCCCGTAATCGATGGGCAAAAGTTGTTGTATTCATAATTCCCGTCCCGTTTGCCTTCTTTTCCCGTTCCATTCCCTATCCGTCCCGTTCCCGGTGTGACAACTCTATAGTACGGGTATTGGTTACGGGAATGGGAATTGAGAATTGCAAATAATTTAAAGTCTAAGTCAAACCAAAAGTATTACAAAATGACTTCATTTATGTATAAAACTGTGTTTTTTTGTGAATTAAAAACTTTACGCAATGTTTTGGTGAAGAAGTGAAACAATTTGAGTGCAATTAAGCGTTGAATCTAATGATTATAAAGCGATGAATGAATTGGCGATCATATGGTGGATGTCATCGGCGGTCAGATTAGGTCTGTTGTCGTGCGAGTGGTGTCTGAACTGGTCATACCTACAACCGGATCAGTTCTTCCAGTCGACGGAACCGATGGCCGCGCGGGTGTTGGACACGGAAGCGCTGCTCGTCTGGGAGTTCAACACATCGTCGCCCTTAAGAAACATGTTTTTCCCGCAACTGATCTCATGGCCCGTCTTCTCGGCACTCAAAGCCATGGCTTTACAACACAACCCATTCCTCGTGTTCATTGGTCCCCGAATTGTCATCACTTTGTTGTCATTCCTCTGCGATTACAGTCTCTATAAGTTGTGCGAATACAGCGGCCGAAGAGCCCAATTCGTGCCATCGGTGGTCGTCTTCGGCACATCTTATGTCACGCAAACATATTTCACACAAACTTTCAGTAATACTATTGAAACCATTTTATTGTCATTACTTCTCGTGTGTGGCTTCAGAGCGATCGCGAAGAATTACTTCATCACTTCCAACGCGTCCATAATAGGTGTCATACTATCGTTGGGTTTCTTCAATAGACCCACATTTGTTTTGTTTGCATTTCCGGTCGTTTGCTTTTGGGCCGCATTTGATGGCCGCAAAAGAGGCAGAAAATCGGTGACACAATCGGTGACCACATTTATAAGACGCGGTCTTTCATTATTACCGTCTTTTATCATCACTTCATTGGTATTAATAATTGTCGACACTTTGTATTACAATCAAAACAGTATTGAATTTTATGAACACTTATTGAACTATCGATTTGAAGAGTTAACCAAAAGTCTAGTCATAACTCCATTGAATTTTGCCAAATACAACACGAAGACCTCAAATCTGGCCAATCATGGTCTCCATCCGCCGTACTTTCACGCGTTGGTCAGCGTTCCGATGGCTTTCTCCATATTAGGACTTTTTGCATACTTTGATTTGTGGACAACAACTCAACGCTATATTAGATCAATGAAGACGAAGCCAAAGAAACCGGTGCTCAACGTATACGAAGCCATAGCTATACTGACATTTGTGGGACCAGTGGTGGGGTTCTCACTGATCCCGCATCAGGAGCCCCGGTTCCTCATCCCAAGTCTAGTCCCGCTTTGCTTTCTATACGCGAATCGATTACTTAAACGCAAACATGTATTCAGTATTTGGATTATTGTGAACATAATTCTCGTCATATTCTATGCATTCATACACCAGTCGGGAGTCATTAAAGGGATGTTTGACTTGAATCGTATCATTAGACACGACCCGAACCAAGAGATGGACATAATCTTCGCGCGCACTTATTTACCTCCGCGTCATTTGCTGAACATCGACAACAAGTGGACACACATTAGAATCCATGACTTATCTGTTCTCGACTTTCCCCAACCATTGGATTCAACACTCAGTGAATTGATGGCCAAAAACAGTACAAATATGTATCTATTAATTCCGGGCTGTCTTACGGATCAATTACAAGCTTTATTTACAAGACATGGATTACAAGATTATAAATTAGTTAAACAATATTTCCCGCACTTCACGGCTGAAGATATTGAGAGTTCACTCAAAGTATTAACGACTAGTTATGAAGATATCCGCAAAGCCTTTAGTCTAAACCTCTGGAATGTTAGGCATTAATGATAGGCAGATAGTCCTCAAGCACTCGGATATCCGGCTATATTCTGAGTTGTCTTAGCATTAGATGAAGACATAAACTATTGGACCAATCAAAACAAATTCAACATTAAGCTCAATATTGTTTTGAATCAATTTGAATGAAATAAAATGTTATATAACTTACGTTATAAAATATCTGTTTTCCCACGTATTGGGTTAACACTGATTTGAAATTTCCCCCTAATTTGCACCGAATATAGCCGTAAAGGTTGGATGCGCTCAACACTAGAGCCAAAGACACCACCATCTGATCAATACATATATGTCGTTAGTTTTATACGATTATACCTGTAATTCATTTAAGAACAAGCATTGGATTCAATACTTACAAACCACTGGACATTGAGCCGAAAAATAGTGACCAAAAGTAAGATAAACCACAGAATCGGCGATACTATTAGCGCCGTCCAGAAGATGGTCGAGTCGGCCGTATTGTCCGACACTTGATTCACGTCTTTGATTGAATCGTCACTTGTGTTGTCTTTTCTGTATTTGTTTTCAAAGAGCCACTGACTGTTGCCGTCGTCATCGATACGGTTCCACCACCGAAGACCCACTAATAGTCTTCCCGTCACGTTCTTCACGGTCCAGAAGTCCATCGAAATCAACATAATTAGCAAAACAAATATCGACAGAAAGTCTGAAATACAAAATCATTTGTTAACCACTAATCTGAAGAAGCGGTTCTCGTAATAATTGCGGACACAAACCCTGTCCGAAGAGACCGCCGAACAAATAGGTGACAATCGATGACACTTTGAATATGATGTGGAAGAAGGCGGCGCTCGGATGCCTATAGTGTTCAACATATCATTCATTTAGTTGTCATACAATGATATTACTTATGAAAGACATTACTTGAATCGTTGATGTCTCGTAACAGTGATGTCTCTCTCGAAGTCATATATGATATGCTCAGGACTTGATGGCGAAGACATCGATGAAGGCTGAAGACAACAATGTAAACAAAATGCATGAATAGTGTGTTTATTGTAAAATCATTTGATGTCTTAGTGTTTTGCATACCTTCTGACCCATCATTATATGGTTTGCGATGAAATGTCTTAATATTACTCTTAATATCAATACTAGAGTCAAATCAAATGACAAGTGATTGAAATGAAGACAACAAACCAAACATTTGTTGCATTCGTACCGAAAAACAACACTTTTGTGTGACGTTTGCAATGAGTTGTACAGCACTTGCATTCACTACTCATTGCAATACATCACTCGTTCACTGCCACTGAATATACAGAATCTGTATTCATATTACACTGTATTTCACATTCTGTATACACTTTTATACCAAATATTCATTCATTTGTTATCATTTGATCCGCAATATCGTTGACCAACACTTAAAACACTGTTAATTGTTTTATTGTGTTTTCACAACTTTAGTCCATTCTTGACGTCAAGTGATTGGAAAGACGGTAATTATAATGAGATTTAAAGTTTTAAGTTATATGGTTTTAATGTAGTAATAATTTTTTAATTTATTTTACATGTCATTCAATGTACAAAGAATTGTAATAATTAATCAAAATATAATTAACTTTACATTTGTTGTTGAAATGTGAGAATAAATTCAATAAATTGTCGATAAAAATGTGATATTATATTGTATATNTTTTTAATTTATTTTACATGTCATTCAATGTACAAAGAATTGTAATAATTAATCAAAATATAATTAACTTTACATTTGTTGTTGAAATGTGAGAATAAATTCAATAAATTGTCGATAAAAATGTGATATTATATTGTATATTGATTTCAATTAAATTATATATAAATTACTTCTTAAGACTTATTTAAATATACAGTAAACTGAATTTTGAGCTCAAAAATTATAAAACAACAAAAATAATAATAATAATGTGATATTATATTGTATATTGATTTCAATTAAATTATATATAAATTACTTCTTAAGACTTATTTAAATATACAGTAAACTGAATTTTGAGCTCAAAAATTATAAAACAACAAAAATAATAATAATCGATAATTAACTCAACAAATTGTATTTAAATTATAGTGAGAAAGAGAAGTCAATGTATAATGGGTTGAATATATCAACAAAAATGACAACAAAAATAATTTAAAATTAAATAAAAAGATTGTGAAACTAGTGTTAACTTATTATTACTACTATCGATGACTTCATTTGAGAATTGAACGCAAAGCCAACATTTTGTCACTAGAAATGTGTTACTAATATACAGGTATAGGTTAGGTAGAAGTTAACACCTAGTGGTTGGTTGTGCGGCGTGTGATGGGTGTGAAGGGTTGCGTCCCTGAAGACGCGATATATGATTGTATATTTTGAGAGCCGGACCTAATTTCAGTGACAGTCCCGTCAGTACATCCATTCGTCTTAACAATAATAGAGATCTGCCGTCGATTTCTTGCTCTTTAAATATCTGTGACTCCGACGGAAAGCCAGCGTCGCGTATGAATGACTCCACTTCTTCCACAGACCACTTCTGCGGAGTCACTGTTGTGTTGAGGCTTTGGTTGCAATCACTGTCCATAACATACAATTGAATTCAATGTTTACAAAACAAATCAAATGATAAAAATACAAGGATTTCATACCTCAGAGCTTTCGACTCGCCGTCCACTTCATTGGCTTCTTCTTCTTCTTCGACATTGTTTTCATCTTTAATACAATGGATTCCATTCGTTATCTCCATATTCTCACTGATTGAGTCGTTCTGATTGTCACCGACTTCTTCGTTGAATTCTTTATTATTTTTGATATCTTTTAGAGAAGTGGAAGAATCGCCGGAAACACTTCTATCCTTTTCATTGGTCTCGCAATTGGAATCGTTTTCAGTAAATAACTTAAAATTCTTATACTCTCTAGTGTTGACTGTACTGTCGTTTTCAGCCGATTGTGACGAGTCGTCCGATGCATATAAAACAGTCTTTTTATCAGTCGATCCGTTTGTGTGTTGAGATGAATGAGTGGACCTTTTGCTGCAACAGCTCTGACAATACCAGTTCCCTAATCATTAGTACAAACATAGGTGTCATATGTTTATCATTGCGGTTATATTGCTGTCAAACTTACCCTTCGGTTTGTTAATGATAGGAGTCGAGTGACACTTCACATGAAATCCTTTACTACAAGTCAAACATATGATAACGTATTCCTATCAAGTAATTAAACATTTAATTTAATATCTCTTAAATTGTATACAAAATTAAGAAATTCATTAAATAAGAAGTGAAATGATATTTCATAAGACTATTGCACACAAACTATTGCTTACATTGGTATCGGTTTGGCGACAAACAGAACAGAGTTTGCAATTATGGCACTGCCATTGAGTCTTATGGACCACTTCCTCTTCACTCACATTCACACAACTCGGATGTGCTG